CGATTTTCGACCAATCGGGCTAACAGTTCTACGGTCACTGACTAACACAGTCAGGCGCGCGGTCTGTGACTAGAGATGGGTACGTTAGTTATTCAGCGGGAAAATATTGACACCATGGAATTACGCAATGAAGTTGCAATTTATTTGGAAGAAAAAAGTGAATATATTGAATCTCTTCTGGACGAAGGATTCATTCCTAAAATCATACACTTGGCGGATATTTTTTCGAAATTAAACGAACTCAGTTAGTACTAAATGAAAGAAATTTTTACGGATTTTATCACGTTGACGCGATATTTCAACGTCAGGAATTAAAAGTGATAAAATCCGTAAAAATTAGTTTCATTTCATGTGTAGCGTTCGCGAAAATATAAGAATTTATCAATTTAAATATGCAAGGTTCGAAAGAATCAGACCTTTTTGCAATTCACGATTCGTACTAATTCGAGCGTTCATGAAAAATCTTATGTTGTGATGACTAGTATTGAGGATAGCAAGTATGATTGTTTTGTAACATTTGAAACTTTTAGTATAGTAAACCAAGTGCAGCCAAAGACAACCGTACTACAATTCTATCTACAATTTCCACTCATTTATCGTTATTACAAACAACTTTGATGCCTATTTCGTGAAAGATATGAAAAACCCGACTCGTTAAATTGGATTTGCAACCCATTTTAAGACCATCTACCAAGTAGTATATCAACAAAAGCGAGTGAAGAACTCATTGATTTATCTGAAGATACTTACCTGTTCGATAAAGTTATAAGAGTCCTCCTCCTTTTCAGGGCCTCATATTTATGCGAGGCCAGATTTTTGGCTCCTTGATTATGATCAGCATTAAAATTAAATACTGAAATAAATTGGACGTATCAAACTCACCGCGATTAAAAGTAACTAAAATTGAAGTTGATGCTTTTAATGACAAAAAATAGAAAACAAATACACCCTTCTCATTGAAAAAACAGACTTTGTACTTAAGAAATAAAAAAATCTAACTTAAAATTGTTTTTCTTATTTAAAAAGTCCTTGGTGAAGGATGGAGTGCAGAGTTGGCACGTGGAATGTTAGAGGGGGCGTGAGAGATAAGACGAATGAGTTGATCGAAATAATGAAAGAAAGAGAATTAGATGTCGTGTGTATGTCGGAGACCAAACGGAAAGGCAGTGGTACTGAAGAGCTCCCTGGCGGGACGTTAGCTATATGGTCCGGAGTCCCGGAAAGCGAGAACGCCTGCCAGGGAGTGGGGGTGCTGTTGTCGTCCCGGTTGGTCGATCTTATGACTGAATACAAGGTTGTGAACTCAAGACTTCTCTGGGTTCGCTTTAAACTGGGACTGACGAAGTTATTCCTTTTGGCTGTTTATGCGCCGGTAGCTTCATCGTCCAGGGCTGAGCTGGAGGAGTTTTGGGAGAATGTAAGAGAAGTTCTAGATTTGGTTAAGGGAAACGAAAGAACTGTTGTATGTGGTGATTTGAATGGATGGGTAGGTATCGCTCGACCAGGATACGAGTCGGTGCTTGGAAAATTTGGCGATAAAAGGGTTAACGATGCTGACAAACTTATACTGGCTGTATGCAAGGAAAAGGGTCTTCTTGTGACAAACACTATGTTTAATCACAGGAAAATTCATATATACACTAGAGAAAGAAAGAATGAGAGAAGTATGATTGATTTGTTCCTGGTGGATGACCGACTGCGAAAACAGATGATGGATACACGAGTGTTCAGGGGTGCTGACCTGGGAACGGATCACTATCTAGTAATTACTAGATTTAGGGGTTTGTTCGCGAGTTGGCGCTACCGGACGGCAGTAACAGAACCACAGTCGGTCTGTCGCATCCGAAGATGGAAGCTTCAGGAAGCAGATACTAGGGACAAATATCACAAGATGGTAGCCGAAAAGCTTGATACCATCGATGGCAGGAAAGAATATGTGGAGAGAACATGGCAGAACCTTAGGGATGGAATGGTAAGTGCAGCGGAAGAAGTATGTGGAACGACAAAAAAAGGTAGTAGTGAAAGAAGAGATGCATGGTGGAATTATGAAGTGAGAGAAGCTGTAAAAAAGAAGAAAAAAGCATGGTTAGACTACTTGGCCTCTAGTAACCATAAGCATATGAGAGAGAAGATGAAAGAAAGATATTAGCTGCAGAAAGAGGAAGTACGTGAAAGGTGTAGAATAGAAGAGGACGAGAGGTTGTCGCACAACTTTAAGGAAAACTCCAAACTCTTCTGAGAAAGAGTTTGGAAGGTCCCGGAGTGGTGCGACAGCCTTAAGAATGAACAAAGTGCTTTCGAGAACCAATGACGTCCTCTCAGCAAAATCGGACGTCATGCAGCGATGGAGTGAATTTTATAGAGAAATGTATGCGTGTCATGATCTTAGTGAAGGATCCGGGGGTAACACCATGACTGGCACGCCAGACACGGACCTCGATGACACTGAGGTTATCAGCATGAAAGAGATTGAACGTGAGATTCGAAGTTTGAAATGTGGTAAGGCTGCGAGACTAGACAGAGTTACTGCTGAAACGGTCAAGTACGGTGGGCCTCGCGTCTGGGACAGCTTTCGTCTGCTGTGCAACTTGTGCTGGCGGACGGGAGATGTCCCGGATGATTGGCGATCCGCGGTCATTGCGCCTTTATATAAAGGTAAAGGTTCACATTTTGACTGCGGGTGCTATCGGGCGATCAGCTTGACCAGTTTAGCAAGTAAAGTTTACTCGAAGGTTTTGACACGTAGGATGCAAGAGAAATCGGAAATCGGAAAGATTCTTATGGGAGGCACAATGCGGATTTAGACCTGGAAGAGGATGCACGGATCAAATGTTTTCTCTCCGCATGATCACGGAAAAGCTTCTGAGTGTTAACCAGAGGATTTTCTGTGCTTTTGTGGATCTGGAGAAAGCATTTGATAAGGTTATAAGGAAGAAAATGTGGGAACTGTTGCCGGGATATGGTGTGGATGGTCGATTGCTAAGGGCTGTGCAGTCACTTTACTATGACTGTAAAGCCTGTGTGCGGGTAGGGCATGACCTGTCACCCATGTTTAGCGTCCAAGCGGGCGTAAAACAGGGTTGTGTCGTGTCTTCCTGGCTGTTCATACTGTATCTCGACAGCTATTTACAGAAGCTGAAAAATGGCTGTTTGGGTGTGAAATTGGGTGACATTAAAGTAAATTGTCTGCTGTATGCTGATGATGCAGTGCTTATTGCACCATCAGAAGCAGAACTGCAGGCATTAGTCACGTGTATGAAAGAGGAATGTGAAATTAAAGGTCTCCGTTTGAATGCTAATAAAACTAAGGTTCTGGTATTTGAAAAGGACGAAAAGAGAACGAAATGTGAAATATGGGTAAATCAGGAACGTCTAGAACAGGTAAATGAAATTATATATTATAATATACTTAGGGAGTGCTTTCAGCCGGGATGGAAGATGTGATTTAGATGTAGATAGGCGCGTCGCTGCCGGAAACAAAGTCAATGGTGCCCTGAATGCATTAGTCAAAGGGCAAGGCGTGATGAAGAGTGCACGCCTTGCAATACATAACGCAGTGTTGGTACCGACTTTGTTATATGGCAGCGAAACCTGGGTATGCCAGAAGAAGCATAAAAGCAAGTTGAATGCAGTGGAGATGCGATCTCTTCGTAAAATGTGTGGCGTTACCATAGCCGATCGAAAGCGAAACGAAGAGATTCGCAATATGGCAGGATTGAAAGATGACCTTATCACAAAAATTGATAGGGGCGTACTCCAATGGTTTGGGCACGTTGAGCGAATGAGTGAAGACCGAATGGTGAAGAAAATATATAGAGCGAAAGTAAATATTAAAAAGGTGTTGAGGTAGACCGAGACTAACTTTCGAAGACCATGTGAGCAAATTGCTCGAAGAGGAGAAGGTCAAGAGTACTCGGATACCTAGACGTACATTTATGAAGAAGTTAATGAACCTGAAAGAAGCTAAAGAGGTATGTAAGGATCGTGACACTTGGCGAACTGTTCTCTCTGGCTACCCCGTTAGGGATTGTGCGTGAAGATAAGTAAAGTAAAGTAAGTAAAAAGTCCTTCATTCATATTGGGGACTCTTAAATTTCCATAGTGATTTTTTGTGAGCTGAACTACAATATATGTTGTCTGTGATGATAAATTAATTTCAAACGAAATAAAAAAAACTATAAAACAAACAAAATAAACAGCTCGAATAAATAAGACATCGGTAAGTTGCTCTGCAACTAGGGAATCCAAGCGTTACCAATATTTATGCCCTCTTTTTAAGACGGCCAATAGGTGGGTCCCGAATTCGGCAGTTTCAGCATGTTAAGTGGGTCGGAACCCAATCAACTTTGGAAACCACTGGAATAATGGATTTGCATGGAACGTTTTTCTTCATCAGTCCATAAACTCATCGATTCTGGACTTTTCAACTAGGAGGGATCAAATTTACCAACAAAAATCAGACTAAGAATACATTTAGACGAGTGAGCCAGGTGAAATCACAGTTTAAAGGGTCTTTCCACTGTTGTGAAATGTACGGGGTAATTTTTTTGCGGCTATATATATGTTTTTTACAGTGTCCAGTATGTCCCTAAGAACTAGACTAAACTAAAAAAAACGTGAAGTATATTGTGCATTAAATGTATGGAGTAGGTAAATTGGTTTATACGTTGCGGCCGCATCACCTCTTACCACCTGGGAAAGTAATCAAACACTGGCTTGTAATAAATATCTGTATACAAAAAACTTTTTATAGAATTTAGTAAAATATAAAACCGCAAACCAGCATTCATCTCTTGCCTTATTTACTAATACTCTACTTCTTTTCTTCGGCCTTTTACAATGTCACCTCACTTGGGAGCCGTGTTTCACAGTAGTAACTACCAATGGTAGATGTGTCGACCTTTTACGCTAATCTAGACTACTCGAAAGATAAAGATATTCAATATGCTTGCATAGTGTACTCAATAAACAGACCAATAAAAAATTTGATAACTACTTACCCATAGCACTGGATAGTCTTGAGCATATTTTACTGAGCACTCCAAGTCAACCGATCCGCCTATATCCCTGATCTGCGCTTGAGTGATATGGGAGATCGTTGGTGTGTGTTGGCCGGAAGCTGTAACAAAATCCTTTTTTTAATAATGCTTTAAAAACTTATTAATTCATTGTTATCGTATGTTTCTTTCGTCTCGTTCGTCGTTATTCTTCTTTCACCTGCGCTTAAAAACATGATTATTGTATATTAATTTTGTAAAGCTAATTAAAGTTAAAATAGGTACATTTTTTTTTCAAAATTGTTCTTTACTTTTGGAAAGTTTCTACTGAGAACTACTGGCACTGGGTACTGCACGACTACTAATGGTAAATGATACTTTACTAATAATATACTATTGATAATGAGACCCCATATCATCCCGTGGGTGTCGTAAGAGGCGACAGAGGGAAACAAACCAGGAGATGGGCAGCAGCGTCTTCCTAATAAAGGCTAAAAGTAAAGAAACTGCGATCGCCAACCCCCAAATCCCCAAACCCTCGAGGTCCCCGGGATCTATCTACTCTCACACGGGCAAAGACAAACCCGAGGTTATATTAAGCTATTGCATAGCTTCTATCGCGCTACGGACACCAAAATTAAAAACCTCCCCCCCCCCGACTCCCCATTCTGAATAACCTACTGTATTGTAAGATATTAAAAATATTTTAAACAATATTAACTTCTCATTTATTCAATAAGAGAAAAAAAATTGTTTACTTATCGGTCACCACGCTCAAAAAGTGTAACTTGATTTAATATCAAAGACTTAACTGCATAAATAAAATAAATAAATAATTATAATTGCATAAGTTGATAAAAAATGCTATGCAATGGCTTTACCGCGGCAGTCACCGAGTGCCACACGTATTTTTTTATTTTATAAGGGTAACAAACGAGCACATAGTCCACCTGATGGTAGGTGGATGCTGTGGCCCAAAGATATCTTTATCTTCAATTAAAAATCAAAATGCAGATGCGTTCCCAGCCCTGAGGACTGAGATGAATTGTCACGTTTCCAGTAAAAAGGGTCTCCGGTTCTCTACACTCTACTAAAAATTCGTTAGACACCCTACGAATCCAGTACAATAATATGTTTAGGATGATGTTGAGTCTGCCCAAAGCATGTACACAGGCAACCTGTGGATCAACCACACCAAAAATTCGTTAGACACCCTACGAATCCAGTACAATAATATGTTTAAGATGATGTTGGGTCTGCTGCGGTTTTGTAGTGCATCGGAGATGTTTGCGGAGTACCAAACTGACAGCTTCGAAGCCATCATTTAAACGAGCATCCTCAAGACATTAGCGGATCGATTATCATCACCGCTCTGGAAGTGCTTTGTGCAAGAAGTGACGATCACGTGGACCTACCTTTTCTCCAGATAGTCACTCTTAAACGTACGTATCTTAAATGCTGAGCGGGTATATATTGTAATTTTTGTACCCTATTTAATTCATTACTAACGTAATTTTAAGTTACTTTAAGTTATTTAAGAAAAAATTAACACGCATCCGCTCAAAAAATAAAAATATGTTTCTTACTAATCCCGTCACCACAAATTCTAGCACAACTAATTCCAGCACCACTACTCTCAACAGCACTTCACTAGGAATGGCACACATCGACGATAATACGACACGTGTTTCGCATCTACACGAGGCATCCTCAGGGGATGTTGACTCTGCGGTGGCTGACCGCTAAGTCTAAGTAAGACTAAGGTTAGTGAGCTAAGTCTAAGTAAAGTGACGGGATTAGTGCACGCAATTGAAGGAGGGCGGGAGGCGCTCTTTAAATTAAGTAAGATACACATTTTATTTTATTACGCGGATGTGTGCAAATTAATTCTTAACAACTTTAATATAATGGATTTCCGCCAAGTAACACCTGATTCTATTAATTAATTTACTTTACTAACCCATATGAATGTACAAGTTGTCCGAAATAAACAATTATTATTATAAAGTAAGCTGTATTTCACGTTCAATAACATATTAATAGATAAAACGGATATTATCTAAAATACAAAATAAAATCTTTTTTTTCCTTAGGTTTCAATATTATTATTTTTATATGTGGTAGCCACGTTGCAGCTATATTATGGTTGTAGTACGAATGGGTCAGATCGACCGGGAAAGGACTCGCAGTCCAAAAAACCAATAAAAAAAGACTCGCAATACCAACGTACAATAGCAGCTTAATGCTTCTGTGTTTCATATGGTGAGTGTGGAGAACCGGAGACCCTTTTTACTGGAAACGAGGCATTTCATCTAATTGTAGATGTCTATGGCAAATGTCGTGGGTAAAACACAGCAGCATTAAGCTGCTATTTTACGCTGATATGCTGTGAGAGCATGATCCTACCCCGGTCGAGCCGACCCGTTCGTGCTACAACTATAATATACTAGCAGCAGCTTTGCTCTACCACGTAAATATATTTATATTTTTATGTAACCACTTTTCTGACCCAAGCGGCTCTCCGTATAGTAGAGATGTTCCAGGGAATACAACTTAACCGTTAATCAAAAAGGTTATATGTTCACACAAAACGAATGCCGAAAAGTATCCCCGCCTAAAACCTAGGGCAGCAAATTTAACTGGAATGAACACATGGAAAAGAAAATCAACAAAGCTAGTATAACTTTCTGGCAATGCTGCTGTAATTCCGCCTATGATCACATACGGCGCTCTGGTACGGTCGACCAAAACAAATGAAGCCACAAAAGAAGCTTCAGCGTTACCAGAGACTGGCATGTATGGCTGCCAAAGGCTGCATAAGAACTACACTAACAGCAGCCTTAGTGGCTATGCTAGAGTTAGCCCCGCTTCATCTACACATAATAAAAGAAGCTACTTTAGCTGCCATTAGACTCAAGACCCTACATATTTGGAGTAAGAGTAGAAAGATACTTCAAGCTCTGAGTTGCAATGTGGTGAACTCGGAACTAATATAAGAACGCCATCAACGATTAAACATGTTAACATAGTGTGAAATATATATTCCCCTGGATAGCCCCATTACCGTTTTTTCACAAAATATTAAACTATTCTTTAATATGAAACTTCAGTTTAATAAAATCTTAAGTTTTAATATGGCCCACTAGGGGAGTGGTATATAAAGCAATTGTAATACTTTAAATGTTTAAGAAATACATTTTCAATTTATATATTCAAAATAAAAAGCGATAAAATATACTTAAAAAATACTTTTTTGCGTAAATACGTAAGTAAAATTATAGTTTAAGTTTTTGACTAAAGTAAGTATATTTTGCAAAGGCAAAGCAGTCAATAAATAATTAATAAATGTTGATAATAAGTACCAAGCAAATGTAAATAAAAAAAATATTATGGTTTAACTTACCAACTGCTGCTAAACAAAATATTAACAAACAAAGTTTTAAATTATTATACGCCATTATAAAAACGACGCTTTACACTTTTCCCGCACACCGCACACTACTATACCTCACAGCTCACAGAGCAGAGAGAGACTGACTGTTTTAGATGATATTACTGCTTTTAGCCTTTTGGCTTTTACAGCTTCATCGGTCTCAGGGCTCGCGGGCTGAGGGTCGCAAGCTTAAAATAAAAAAGGGGACATTCATCTGCATCGTTACTTGCATAACGATGTTGGCCTACGTCAATTGAAAGTGCACGTAAATGATATATCTAATACAGTCCGAACAGAGGGTGATGGACTCCCAGCTCTGAGGGCTAACTCATATCGTTCGATGTTCTGGAAGGTGAGAATCTGCTAGGGTTGCGGTGTACGTAGTACGGTGTGTACGCAATGTGGAGGGGTGTACGGCGCACCCGTCTGTGGACACACTGAGTCCCATACGATGTACTATTTGTATTTGTTGCACTGGGTGAGTGTGTTGTGTGCCGGAAACATTTCGGATCGTCGGAAAGCGGAACACTTACTCAAAGTTGGGCGTAAGTTAGTTTGGGCTAGGAGCGTAGCTACCGCCGTATCAGCCGTATCAATGATACGAGGCCCCGGGCTGCAGGGGTCCAGAACGTGTGTAAGCCGTGGGACTTATAAATGGTGTAAGCATAAATTCGTAAAATGTTATCCACAACCTCACATAAACTCTTAGGCCGTAGGTACTTCTCAAGAAAAATCATATAACCAGATAGTGCCCAACGTGCCTAAAGAAGACCTGTCAAAAATAGACCAATAGAGTATTACAAACATTTTCAAAAAGTTTTATATATATATATATATATATATATATATATATATATATATATATATATATATATATAAATTAAACCGATTCGTGCCATAAAAATTGCTTTTAATCTCTAGTTTTAAATTTTCGCATGAAAACGCTAGCCGCCATGCTGTTCGGCTCTTGACGTCACTGTCCTAGAATTTTACTGATTTTGCTAAGGAATAAGATAGTCAAGTTAACGAGAGTGGTGGAGGCGTTTAACAAACAAGCAAACTCAAACATCAACGTTTACATTTGCTTACTCAAGTGACGCGATATAGGCCACACACAGGGTGCAAAGTCAGCAATAGCATTTATGCACGTACTTGTATCACTCTGTGTGAGATCGAATCCATGACTCTTCCCTCCTCAAGAGTGAAATTATCGGCATTTTCAGGAATCCGATGATTTCGCTTAATTACACACAGTTTATATCTAATTATAATTACAATACAGAAAATAATTGATAGAATCACATACAAAATTATCGTTCCTAAACTCACACATTTAACGTTAATAGCACTTGCATTATCACTGATTTATTTGTTAAATTTTACTTTACCAATTGAGTTCGGATTTACCTTAAACAAAAAAGGGGTTGAAATCTTCAGTTCTGGTAAGTTAGTCATTGGGTAAATTTGGTAATTTAGGTCATCTGAAGAAGATTGGTGGTATTTAAAATGAATATTTCCAATTTCGCTTTCACAGAAATCGTCTACGGTGATTATGTAAGTACCACATAACATTTCATGAGTGACGTCATTACCGCAATATCTGGTAAGTATCCTATGGCTTCTCACGTATAGTATCCAGCTTTCGTGGCTTATTCGTTGGATTTTGGGATCTTTAATGTCCACAGTATGCTGTTCACAGGCATCGAGGTTTGCTTGAAACTCCATGAGCTGTTCCACGCAGCTTTATTCTGTATGCAGCAGCATATCGTCGTTATTGCACAGGAATTGGTTATCCAAAGCAATTTGTTTACAGGCTTTCGGGACCGGAAGATTCCGTTTCTTTCACCAATAGGTATGGGTATTTGAGAATAACTATAATAGTTTTGTTTGCAATAGCAATTGGCAATGAATACATTTTGAAATAACTATATGTTTTATTCCCTACTAAAGGGACCTCTAAGATAAACGTGATCTGGTTTCCTTTTATAAAAGCCTTAACCTTAATACAATTTTCAAATTTAACTAAGTTATTTTCATTTACAGGATATAACAGATTTTCAGTTGTCGAGATTGATTGTAATAAATTTAACAATTCCGTAGAATTAAAAATTGCTTGATGCAGAACAGATACCTTACTGAATGCTAGTGCAGTTTCAATTTCTCCTAGTATTACGTTAATAGTTCTAAAATAACTCAAAAAACACAACCTAGGTAGGTAGAATAAATGGAGTTTTCTTCTTTTGTATTTAGGAATTTAACAATTCTTTCAATTGTCTTCAAGCGTTCATCTAAAATTAAAGTATTGTTATGTAAGGTCTCTGTACTGTTGATGAAACTATCCAAGATTTTGGAGAATAATGTAATTCTCTTATTCGACACGACCTGATTATCGTTTAGTTTAGAAATCAATGAGTCATATCAGATGGCATCATCATGATCCAAATTTCCAGTTACTATTTTTATCATAGACCCAAGCGGGTCAATAATGCCTCTTTTAAATCTTTTCGATGGCACAAGTTGCCGAAATTTTTCTATAGTTGCATCTCTTAAATACCCTACATGTGTTCGAATAGCTAAAAATTCATGAATATATGGTTTATTAACATCTATCAACGCAACAAATTCGTCGTACTTTAATATACTAAAATCTAAATCACTACCTATACCTTCTAAGTTTAAAGTTTTAATAATAAGCCAATTGTCTATTTGCAATGAGGCACGACCCAGTTTGACAGGCAGGATTCCTGGGTTTTTTTCAAGTTTTCGAAGTTGAAGGGCCCATCCTTTCCGAACCATCGTCAGAATTATTATACACCACCTGTGGAGGGCGTTTAATGTTTTTAATTGGCACTGAAGTATTTCTATTACCCACCTAACAGAAACTATATTTCTTTCTAATACCACTAATGACAGCTTTCCTATATCTCAGTTTATCTTTACTTCTTCTTATGTTAGATTCCTTGGCGTATATAACGTCTCCTAATCTAAAATTTCTATCTGTTTCGGCGCCCTTTTGGTCCCTTACCTTTTCCTTTTTCTCTAACATTTTATGCTGATATGTAATTATATAGATATCTAATACGTTTAGCATGATCTTTTAATAGTTGTTGGATGTAGCAATTCTCGAAATTCGCGGCGAACGTTGAATTAGAGCCGGTATACCTGAAAACGATTTCGAAAGGAGTAAGGCCGGTTGTACTATGTATGGTGTGGTTATAAGCCATAATTGAGTAACTCATTACAGTAGCTGCATCTGTACACTTTCGTTCGTATTTCGCCAATCTGTATGTCTCTATAATTGTGGAGTGGAATCTCTCTATTATGCCTGTTGAAGTCGGGTTATTAGGAGTAGTATAATGTGTAGTAGTATGTTATACATAGTCATAAGTTCCTTAATGAGGTCATTATTGAACTCACTACCGGGATCAGTAGTTATTTTTTTAGGTGTTCCGTATATTGAAAAATATTTAATAAGCGCTCTTACGATTTCCGGTGCGGATCTATTTGGAATTTCGATAGCTTGTCCTAACTTACTAAATGCGTCAACCAAAGTTAGGTAATAAACGGATTCAATTGAAAAAAGGTCCATGAAAACTTCTTGGAAGGGGGGCGTTTTGGGTTTGAGTTAAATGAAGTAATGGTTTAATGGGTTTTCTTTCATATTTCATTTTTCTACAGGCATCACAGACATTAAGCACTGCAGCAATCGTCTCTTGCATGTTCTGCCAATAATAGTTCCCTTTAATTCTACTCATTGTTTCCTTTATTCCTCTGTGACACATCTTTCCCACATGATGTTGCAGTATGATTTATTTTTGTTTTCCCTCGCCTTCTACATATATAACACGCTCGGTACATTCAATAAATTCTACCATTCCCTTTTTAAATAGCTGTATAACAATTTTAGAGAATTCTTCTCTATGTTGAATGTTTTCGAAATAAATAAAATATTTAATCTTGGGCTTAATGTACTCTTTTAATAAATTTTTAATAAGATCTTCATTCTTAAGTGGGGCAAAAACTTCGAGAATCTTTTGTTTATCCCTGGATAAATTTCTCACTTGTACTTCATTTTTATGCCAGGTATAAACTAAAATTTGGTTAGGTTTTAAGTCAATGGCCTCCTTTAATATCGGAATACCATTCTGCCCTTCTTATGAAGAGTGCAATAACTTGGTTTTCGCTACTTTCGAGATAATCGCAGTTAAAGATTTAATTCTTGTTTTATCTATATCTTCGTAACTATGACAGCTATTTACTTGAATCTTTTACTATACGACAGTTAAAATGATGCAGAATTCTTTGTAGTATATTATATTTGTACATACATTTATATAGACTTTAAAAACACAATAGTGTATTTATCTGTAGGACTGTTAATTGTTTTGATAAAGAGTTACTAATCATAACCGCAATAAGTAGACTACTTATTGCAGTTATCGTTAGTAAACCGACAAATTGCTATTTTGAGTAGCATAAACTGTATGTCCTGTAGTTTCTTTCCAACCATTAGTGCAATAAACGTCTTAGTTATTGCGGCTTTAATTAGTAATCAGACACAATGCAGCGGTGGTTGATTGCAAGAATATTATAAGTTTATATGAAAAATGATTAAAACATAATTATCTATAATATGTATGAAAATGTTTATTAATTAAATTAACTGTTGTGAAAAATGTTACAAAAATATCACTTTACCACCTAAAAATAAAAATTAAATCCCTTTAGGCCACTTTAAGTGTTTTCTTTCACGAAAATTATGTAATCACGACTCAAGGAACTTCGCAATTGCACATATTAAAAGCAAGATAAGTTTTTATTTTTTTCCTAGGATATAATTTTTTTTATACTTAATCTACTAACTCATATTATGAGATCAATCTTTAAGTCAATCTTAATTCATTTAAAGTAACTTAAATTTCAATGTAAAGAAAACATTGGAATCTGAGTAAAATGTATGTTTAACATGTCTGAGTTTAATGTACTCGTATCATAGTAGTATTTAGTCACTGGGTAAATAAAACT